ACACAATTCGACCTCTCAGCAAATGACGATAGGCGTGCATGCATGCATAGGTATGTATATACATGAACAGGTGACTCCAGAAGAGCATCAGAACAGGTGCTTAAATAATCGATAAATGATAAGCGGTGATCCGGTACAGAGCAAGGCCAGGACGAATACAGGTCAACCATTTGCTATATACACGACCAATTCCCATTTGAAATTTAATCAAATCCTCCATTACTCACATGAACTTAGTAGTCAGGTTGTGATTGTTTTCAACCGAGTCATAACCCTGAGTAGGGTCTGTGGCGTGCAACAAGCTCGCAAAGATGGGTTGTGCTATGTCGTGTAAATGGAAAATGAAATAAACGGCCTGATCAGCTGCCCGCTGGCGAAGTGGGTGGCATGCTTGCGTTCTGCTCATAAAGTCCCGGGTTCGATCCCCAGTTGAGTTGATGGATTCGCATTGCTGATGAGACCCAGCCAGGTCGAAACAGCTGTCCAATGCTTTCTGGCTTTTCAGTTCACGCTTTATTTGCCATATACACGACGAATTTCCATTTGAAATAGTACGGGACAACGGAAGTCACAAGAGAACTGGTGTGGTTGAAGGCATACGAGTGAGCGGTGTACGTGTGTCTGCATGTCCCTATACTTAATAGAGACTGGTATAACTAAGCTCTCATGTGATCAGGTCAGAAATCGGTAACCAGAACGGAGCGAATATCGATGGGACAAATAAGGAGTGATAGAGAGGGTCATGAGATGAAAGAACACTAAATGATTGTGAGAAAAAGAATCAACAACGCTTATGTATACTGTGCAAGTTTTGAGAATCACCATAATAAAGCGATGACGTATGATGGTTTTCTGTTCCTGCACACGCCACACGCACGCGGTCATGTTATGTGTTCCGCTTTCACCAATTACGGTAAACGGATTTTAAAACACGGTGAGGTGTCCTAGTGGTCTGATCGGATACCCTGCACGTACACTGTTTTATGCTACATGGAAGAATGCATGAAGAATGCAAATGTCGTCAACGTGAACTGTCTATTTTCCTTCAAAGAGCAAACTAGACGATCGCATCAATATAATTCGGTGACTATAGTGCTGTGTTTTGTGGACGTTGTGTATTTTCAACTGAACTCCAGGAAGTGTGCCGTATTTTAAACTCTAGTACACTATGCCAAATAATGCTGGCCGATTTGATTCCAACAATTTACCATTCAATTCAATACAATTCAATTCAATATACAACCAATATCGAACTCTAACTGAGCAGTTTATTTGCGGTACAATCTGGATAAATAATTAACCAAATCAGATCCACCGACAGTTAAAAACTTGTGCAGAGTATAAGACGACTACATACTATTTCTTATCCTTGTTGACCATGATCTCAAATATTTGAATTTGGCAATCTTTACGGTCGTGTCTGAGATAACTCTGCAGACACCCAATATACATTTATACATTCCTGCAAAATATCCTGCATCAGGGGACTGAATTTAACCACCTGTAACCCATATGGTATCAGTATCGACCGGTTGCTGTGAGCGAACGCTGTAGTTCTATCATCAAAGCTGACCAGTCTCTATATCTGTCCAGACATTTATCATCTGCGGAACCTAAATCGCTCGTTATTTCGAACCGAAACTTTGCGGCACAATGCGATCATTTCATTTCAATTACGAAAGCTGAGGCAGTTTCGCGCATCCCAGTCAATTATTTCTACCCTTGTTTATCAATGTGTTTTCCTCATCTTACTCTACTGTTCCTCAGTTATTTTTCCTGGTTTGCTCAAACAGGATTTCAAAGTCTAAAGTCGCGCTCTTACCATTATTAGTCGTGTCTGTTCTATTCCCGTGAATGAATTAGGTGTAAAGCTGTGTGAAATTTGCTGAGAGGATTCTCACAGATTCTGACCACCCATTGCATGCAGAACTGACACTGTCGTTCCCATCATTCAACATGCTCCCAATTCCGCCAAATTTCATCTCGAATTAACGCATCTCGCAATTCACCCATACCGTATGTTGCTCATCTACTCATGAACAAAGAGCGGACAATAAGTGAACTTTGTCTTAACCTTGGGTTATGAAATGTCCCAATGTCTATAAAAGCTTTTCTCTCTGTTGATTATGTACATTGTGACGGTTAGTGTGTATGATTTTGTAACTGAAATGTGAGCTTCAGTGCTTGCAAAAAAACGTTATACATAATCCAATACAATACTGCATATAGATCGAATACAACTGAGAACGTCGTTGCAGCGTTTCTAGCAATATTTGTATGACATAATCGTTTGGTCGTCTTTTCGGCAAATTACTTAACTGACGACACCAGAAATCAATACACCGACATCTGTCCACAAATAAGATTTAGTTAGTTACAGGAGACTTGTTGAAAATGTAACATTGTCGTACTTCATATGATCAACATGTAATCCGATTTAAACTAGTATAATTAACAACAAGAGATGAAAATGTCATATCTGAATGAAGTCTGAATTGAGCGTTACAGGAAATCAAGAGGTGGGTATTTAGTGTTAATCAAGTGCAGTCGGATAAAATACACAAGTGATCAGTTCATGATTTGTTATTGGATTATCGATCGTTTTCCTCCACCCCCTGTTATGCTGGCAACAAATTCAAACCCACTAGGCTTTGCTCTAGGAGGAGGAGGATTCAACGAGATCTGCGTTACCTAGTCTAATTTCACTTAAATTATCATTGAACCACTCTAAATTACCCTTTATAAGGCTGTGACCTGTACAAAATTGATCACGCTCAGTCAGACTGGGACAACCCACATGGCCATAAGACAATTCATGATCTCATCCGGTTGCCATTAACTTTCTGGACGGGAGTAAGTGAATCAACAAGCGAAGGTGGCGACTTTCATATGTGAGAAGATAATGATATTAGCTATTCGTCTGGGCTGCTTCAACATGCTTCCTGCATCATACTCCAATGTATCAGTAAACTGTCGTCCACCTGGTGAAAACAGAGGAACGGGAGTACTCTATGAATATTGCGTGGTATCCATTGTAATGTATTTTATTGTATTGGAGAGTTAGAGAGTTATGCGTAACATTTAGGCCAAAAGGAAACCACCGTCACAAGGGGAAAAGGAGGAAACCAAGAGTGAAAAGAAACTACTTGATGCATTAGAAAGCTCAGAACGAACGTTCTCTTTTGTCGGTCAGTATCAGGGAAAGATAGGGTACCAAAGAGATTCTGTAGGCAGATATGCAAGACGGGATAAGTTTGTACTTAGAACGAGTGAACGGGTGGGATTTGCATGCACACAAGTCAGAGTGTGTAGAGGATGGATGTAATCAGATAGGGTAGCTCAGCTGGTAGAGCATGCGCGTACAAAGCGTAGGCGGTGTCCATGCGTGGGTTCGAATCCCACCGAGGCTACTGAACTTTTCACAATCGACATACAAACTTCAAATCTGCTAAACAACTATTTGAACAGATAGGGTATTGTCAGCAAACTTCAAGCAGGCAACGGTATGAACGTCACAGACATTGTCTATCAGAACAGGTGCAGGAACTTGGGAAACACGGCAGATTGTTGAGAGGCCACACTTCAGCAGCTTGAAATCGGCCTTTAGCGAACCGTGGAAAATCACAGGAGAGCAGTATACGGGAATAAGAAGAACACATAGTCAACCAAATTTTCCATCACCGCGATGTCAGAACACAAGTGACTCAATCTTCTTATCTCAAAGGAGAGAGAGAGATTTCAGCTTGCTACCAACAGTTAGGGTACTTAAAGGCCAGCTAAGGTTGCTTTCAAGTTTGACACCTAGGTAGTTCACATGGTTGACCCTGCTCATCGGCTTTCCCTGAATCATAACATTGTCTGAAAAAGATGGGTAACGGTTTGAAGTAAAAATACATTCAAGGAATTTTTCGGGATTAAGATGAAGACTGGATAAAGTGGAATATCTTACAAGGTGGGATAGGTTGATGTTATATGCAACCAGTTCTGATTGGTTAGATACGGATACGGTGATATCATCAGCATACTCAAAACGGGGAGTAATGCTTGAGCCACTAATGCAAGTCGCAAAGAGATAGAAAGAAAGTAGAAAGACAGTACCTATCGACTGATGTCGTTAACTGTCTTCTCCCCAATTTAGTTTAATCGTCACCGAAAATGTGCTTTCGGATACAAGCAACGATGTGATCGTTTGTGGATTATCCCAGTCACACACGTGTCTCTACCGTTCGCGTTTATCAGTAAAACATTTCCTTGTGTCTCCGTGCGGTGGTTACAGTCGAAGTTGAACTGAGTTTTGCTGAAAACTCCCAATCCATGCGTAAAACGGTGTTATACAGTCTAACTAGTTTTCGCTCAAACAAAGGAATCACGTCTAACTCAACTACGTTTATTTAGAAGAAGTGTTTTGTAGTTTTCCTGATTGACACGGTTGTATTATTTTAAAGTTTTTAACATTATCACAGGGATGTCGTATAAATAAACGATAATCAGTAAATTCCTGTAAAATTCCAAAACACTCGGCCTCAGTACATTCTTGATAGAAACGGAGAAAACGTCATGGAAAATACGACGATTTTCCTATTCGATGACAAAATAGGATAGTCTAAGTTGAGTTAACTAATTTTATTGGGACTAATTGATTTGCTCCAAGGACTGTGCTCGTCCGAAAGGATTCACATTCTGCATTTATGTTTCACAAACAATGGTAATTTCCACGGTACTCATTTAGTCACACGATTCCGTCGCCAAGCATTTCCGCACACAAAGACGCGAATGCACGTTAACAAGTTTTCCGATGAGCTCTGCCCACACTTGTGATGCTGCACAAATTCAGCTTCTTTCCATTGACCTTGACTCATCCACACAACAACTGTCTATTTCCGTGACCTTGCACCATCCAATGAGAGTTTTCCGGAACGCTGATTGGTCACTGCAGGCGAGGTCCGGTTCGAGCGCATATGCACCATAGTGAATGGTTTGAGTTTACCAGAAGCACAAAAATGATTGCCAACTGTGGTGTTCTTTTGCTGGTGCTCTTCATGCTGGGCTCAGTTCAGATGGTCACACTAGAGGAAGCTATGCAGGATCCTGCTCGTTTCATCCGTTACGAGATGAGCAGTTTTAATGTTGGTCTGAACGCCTTGTTCGCATTGCTCATGCTTTCCGGAATGCTGGCAGCCATTGTCACATTTATCGCACTTGTCTCGCGCTCGTTGGGCTATCGTAAAAAGCGTCAATCCTAATTCGCATTTGGAAGATGTGGCAAGTAAGACAATTTCTTGGTGGAAATCAATACAAGTTGTGCAGTACTCTACCGAAAATGCAATTCAGTCAGTGGGTAGAACCAAAATACAGTAGAGCAGTTTCGTTATCAGAATAATTGTTCCCGTTGTTCTATCGCTTACGAAGATAATTCTATGATGCTTATATCTTTGGAAGTAGTTATTTATATGGTTTATTAATCAGACATGAAATTCATATATATTTATTCTATACAACAACATCCTATAGTGGAATTCCACTCATCGCTCACCAACACCTTAGATACTCAGGGCATCACATTTTATTTGCGAGAGAGGCTTCTGATTGTCTTTTTTGTTTTCACGTTATAAACAGTGAAATACTCAACTAAATACCGATAAAATGAAACTTTAAATGTGGGGAATGTCTTGATCATTAATTTCCACATGGGTACTTGTTCCGTGGTCTTATTGAACGATTCTGCATGCATGTTTAAGGCCTGTTAATTCTGTCCGACTGCCAAGCACACTGGTAATTTCAGGTCCCGGTCAGTTAGTACATCTAAACTGAGTTGATCTGCTGTTTGTATTGCATAACTTTTTCGGGATTCATCCATCATACCCGATGATGTCTTCAGTCCGCTATCCTCCAAGTTATGCCATCGCTCGCCCTGCTCGAAATGAAATGCAGAAAAATTGTTGTTTTAACATAAACACTTGATTATTCTTCGTGTTTATCTTTTTTCATCTACGAAGAGTAGAGTCACAGGTGCTCATTAGATCAAGGTCTAACATGTATCACGTTTTGCAGCCCCATTACCTTTCACAGCTAACTAAGAGTTAAGCTGCAATGCCACCTCAATTCGATTAGTGCTTGGAGTGTAAATATCGATTCAGCTTGGTGGCAGTGTTTGTGATAGTGACCATAAAAGCAGCAGCAATATGGTGTACAATGTATATAATATTGGATTCAGTCGCAAAATCAATAAGCAACGTAGTTTAAACCCGTAGCTGGCACCACATATGATGCGAATTAGCATAAATCGACTAGTGAGCATGGGGCATTCAAATCGACCGGATGTGTCATAAGCATTCCTTTCTCACATCATTGAGTACGAGTGGCATGGTACCATGACCATCAGTGGAACATCTAAATTTCCTAGGTCACAATTTTCATACGTATAGGACTATATACAATCTAACGGAATGAGGTGAACTCATACGGTGATAGATTTCAATTTCTCTTATAAAACGGTTATTGGATAAAACCAAGAGATCGGAATTCTTCAAACAAACACAAGCAGACTGGATCACGAAGTTTAATAATCTGCTTCGGTCATGATGGCTTTTAATTCGAATCATGAGGCTTTTAGTTCGTCTACACTGGTATGACGATAACGATCAGAATACCGCATACTAATGAGGAGGATGGGTTTTCCTTTTTGGCAAAACATAGGTGAAAATTTGACAAATTAGAAAACATATATTATGCGTTGTCTCATTTCCATTAAGGGCGGTAGTTAAACATATTATCATACACGTCTGAACCCATACTGTGTGCCAAACAAATCATGGTACAATAATCTTTACGAAAAAGAAAAACATTCCATGATTTGCATGTGGGCGGAANATATATATATATATATATATATATATATATATATATATATATATATATATATATATATATATGTATACATCTTTCCACAGGTCTGTATCAACATGGTGTGCCAAACAAATCATGGTACAATAATCTTTACGAAAAAGAAAAACATTCCATGATTTGCATGTGGGCGGAATAATGACTGGTTGCCCAGGCCAAACCAAGTGCATTTTCCTGAGGAATCCAAAACCGGAGCCTTTGGCTAGCCAAAGCCTGATCCGAAAGGCAACCGGGCGGTGTGAGAAAACCGCAATCAATTGGGGGCCGGTGTGCAGTACATCGGATCATACTCTTTTTGGACCGGGTCAAATATTCAAGGTGTCTAACACAACTAGATGACCAATCGAGCCCGTGACCACTGCCACGACCAGGAAGTTGTGTTTTGGTTCGTACGCCTCGTCGTGGTTAGTTTAGAATCAGGTGTTTTGGCCAACCCCGCTAGGTGAACTACCAGTGGTCCACCAACCCGGTTATAGCCCCGGCTGCTGGCTTTTCGTCCTCTCACTTTGATGGGAAACCACCTCCACTCCACGAGAATGCAGTGAGTATGGCTTCATCAGGAAGGGATAATTGAGACGCTTTGTCGTATGGGGACGTTTGGCGAGGTGCAGGCGAGGAGTAACCAGCCGCAAAACTAAACAGCCACTGCTGAACATACTGAGGCTCAGGGTTCACCACACCGAGCGAAACAACACAGCAAACCTTATGTTCTTTTGTTTCCTCTTTGAGGTTAACAATAAATACATCATAGTAACAAAAGTGTACATATGGATGGGACAATATCAAGGAGGAAATATTAAACTCTGTCACTGATTGTGAACACAGTATGATCACGATGATTTCTTTTTTTTTGTCACTACGCTTCAGCGAAACCGAGTGTTTGTACATCCGTCTTTTAGAATACAATAATTCCATTTAGTCTTTCCTTACTACTATAAAGCTTTGTCCTCATACGCATACCGTATACAATGGCCATTTGGATAGCCAATAAGCTGGAACCATTGAAATACGGTCTCGCGTGAGAACGTTCCACTCACGGCATCTCCGGTTGAAGCCTGTGATATCAGTCTCAATCAAACTTACAAAATCTAAGTACTGAGAGTAAAAGCTCGAGACTGATGCGGTATTTTGAGCACCCTCGCAAGCTTCACTTCCGGGGATGTATGTCGTTCTCACCTAGCAAGCACCAGCGTGAGTACGAATACGAAAGTGCTGAAGTTTGATCGGCTAGAGAAGACCACGTGATTGCTCAGTTGCTCACACAAAGCACTTCCTTTGTGTGTGTGTTTGTGGATGCGTGTTTGTGCATTTATCTACTGACGCAAACTCATGCATTACAAAATCGATAGGTTTAGCTTCACAAAATGACACCCTACCACGCATATTCACTCACCCTCACACACAGTCGAAGCTCTTGCCGACTGCATGATTCCACTCAGTTCACCAGTACACCACGTGTTTTTCATGCTTGACCTATATAATGTGCATCTTGTGTGCCCCTACACGCCTTTTGTCTGTCTCTCTATCTAGCTGGTGACAGCTTATGCTGATACCAAACGCACCGGACTGAGCATCATATCGCGAGAGCCTGCATGTCCAAACCGGGGCTTGCACATCTGTGTGTCTGATCGATCAATCGATAATTCATTGAGCGTAACCGGCTAACAGATGATAAAGTATCATCTATACCAATGTGTTTTCTGTTCCACCAAACTGATCTGCACAAAAACGTGTCTGTCTTTGTGTCTGTGCTAGAATGCGTGCTGTTCAATGTGGCAAGAGACTTAGGTTTGCGTTTGGGAATGATTTCGGAAATTTCCAGACCTAAAGGTCCAATTAAGCCGCTTTGACTATGATTTAAAGAAACTCAGTGATCGAGGAACGTACATTTTTCACCACGAACACCTACCATGAAGAGTCTCGGAATCGCTGGAAATGAATAAACGGAACGCAATATTGTGGTCACATCCGGACTGCTAGATTGTTAAACACGAGCCACGTGTTGACGGTTCGTTATTATTTCACTGAATAAGCGTACTCATGCTGCGCTGCAGTTGCGGCTTATGGCATTGCGATAGCAATGCGACTGTTTTACCAGAGATCAGTAGAATTTAATTCGAACATATCTATGACTGAACAAACCACACAATCCCGCTACGCATTTTTGCACGTCACCCAAACGCACGTGACACACACGCCTTGAGAGTAGATGAAGTGCACAAAAAATATCCAAAAAGTGCTTCATTCATTCAAATGGTTTGTTTCAAAAATGTAAGCTGATTAACGTACAGGAAGAAAAACTATTCCGCCAACGGTTGTTGTGTGAACACTGCCACGGTTGCACTGGCCACCCCGGGTGTTATTTCTCACTCCATTTGTTTTGTGTTGTTGGTGCATACATTATTTCATAATTTATGCTCTGAACGTCTGACAAAGGTCATCGTGCAACCGAGTAAATCGCGCACGGTTGCTACGATATTGAAAGTGAGGTTTTAAACGTGCAGAACTCAAAATCAAGTTTTGGAATGCCTACGAATATGTTTAAAAGAGGATGAATTATCCGATATATTCATTGTCATTTTATGCAATGGATCGTGGACCGACCATAATAGCGTCTGACGCTTTTAATTTGCACTAGTAAAAATTATCAACACTCCCTCCTTCAAGTAATTTCTCATTGAATAAGTGCCGAGGAACTAGCTTTCGTTTTTGAAAGTTCCAGTCAGATTGGGATCACTTTTGAACACAGTATTGATTTATTTTTCTGTCTCAGTTTCAGGATGGTGGTGGCCAAGTGGTTAGGTCACCAACTAGTGACCTGGATGTTTCGGGTTCAAACCCGCTCCACCGCCGCTCGTCTTCCCTATNCTTCAGACAGCTTTTGTATGGCCACAGCCCCCCCCCCTGAAAGTCGACTATACATTTGTATATTCAGTAAATAGAAAAGGGAAGTAAACAGATATTTATTTTATTACATACGCAAATCATTATGTAAGTACACAAGCTGGATAATTCTTATAATATAGTTTAAAGTAATACAGTAGTAGAGTCAGTCATTAGGTGATATAATTAAGCGATAGTACACTATTTAACTGCGACTGACTTTACTGGTTTCCGTAGCTAATGAACTGAACTTAGTGAAGTGGCATTGTCCTAGTTGGTGATGTTTGAGAAGTATGCTGTTCAAGCAGCCCCGATGACTATAGCCTGGAACAATCGCGTTACCGAACTCCTGTTAATGGGGCTTGAGTGAACTCCGGAGTAAAAGGTCCATTGTGTTCGGACATTTTCTTATTACTTTATGATCGTTATTTTCAAAACATGCTTGATTGGATAAAGG